AAAAGGAGCAGATTATTACCGCCTTGGAGGTCTGACATCAGAATTGTCGAAGGCGCTTATATGAAAATGTTTAGAAATGCTATAGAAATCGACAATGGTTATTGAAACATTAAAGACATTGGAGAACATCGATCGATCGATATGGGCAATACTTGACGTTATCAACATTCGATACAACACGTGAAAAATAGTACTAACTATCAAGTGATATACTGTATAGTATTTTAAAACTCTTTTTGTATGTTTTGACAAAAAACATGACAGATTTGTATGAATAAAGTGCAAGCACACCGTTTTAGTAAAACATTACAAGTTATTAGTGAGATCGGCGTTTATTATAAATCAAAATATTTTATACAAATATACTCAACGAGTGACTTTATTCCTCCACAATTAATCTAAAATAAAGATTTATAGTAAAACTGATACCGTACCAATTTAAGTTCCTCTACGGAAATTCTAACCAAATTGCAAATTTCGACTCGTTATAATCTCGTTTCCTGACCATCAGATTTCTGTCAAATCTTCCCCCCAAAGTCCAGGAAATGGCATTTCAGAGACTCTAAATTTAAAAATTTTCCGGGGGGGCATGCCTCCGCCCCCCCCGAGGAACACCTCGCACCTGCGGCGCTCGGCTCGTGCCTTCGGCCCTCGTTTATCAAGCGTCACATTATAGGGGCGCATATTGGTTGATAGCCCACTGGCCCCCCCAGAAAAATAGTACCCAGCACGCCACTGCTTCGCCAATAAACTCATAAATCGGCTGCTCATGTTTTATCTAGTACTTATGTTCCGTTAGTATGTGTGGTAAAATTATATTTCTGGAAATGTAAGCAGCATACTAAAGTAATCAATTAAAATTCTGTAGTATTACAAAAGTCACCGAACTGTGAAATCGCATTAAAAAATTCGTATATCGACCACGCCCACAAACGTCTTCGACTGCGCCTACACATTTTTTCATGTTTACAATTCTAATTTTAAGCAGCCAATCGACATTTAATTGTAATTGTTGCCAAGAACCTGATTGGCTGTTCAAAATTAGAATTGTAAACATGCAAAACTAGTTAGGCGCGGTCATAGACGTTTGCGGGAGTGGTCAATATACGAATTTTTTATGCGATTCCACAGTTCGATGGCTTTCGTAATATATACGGACTATAAAAGTATATTTAAACACTCATTAATAATTCATAAGCTTATTGGCAAATCATGTCAACCATAATATGTCACCTGCAGTGGCTTTAAACCTGATAAAACACTCCTAATTAGTATTCTTCATATAAAGAATACTAATAAGGCAGTATCTATTGTAGTCGTGTTCTCATTAGTATTTTTTATATAAAGAATACTAATAAGACGGTATATATATTGAATTTGTAGTCGTGTTTGAAGCCGTTTAATAAACTCGCAGGTCGTGTTTTATTAGGTCTAAAGCCATTCGCGCTGCGCGCTCGTGTCTTTAAACCTAATAAAACACTCCTTCTCGTTTATTAAACAGTACATAATACAGACCATGCACGATATAGGGTCGATGTGGGGCCTATATGGACCCCTTATGGTGTGCACACCCCTTATAGTGCTTTCTGGTTAGTTGTCATATCCACTTTGCACTATTCTTGGGATCTCTGAGTCTGTAATATTATCTTGACATGTCTATTTATATGAAGGGGTTGACATTTTGATTATATTTTACTAATTGTAGTCAAATCATCAGACATTTGGTAACATGTTAAGTGAATTGATAGATAAAAGGAAAAGATCTTTCTGTTGAAGCAACGATTTCAATAAGTGAGGAGAGATAACAACTTGGAAATATCAACTACAGAAATTTGATTACTACAAAAATCAAAATTTTGTTGGCATCTTAAGCCTGGTCTACATATGCCTGCATTATCATTGTTTACAGCTGTTGATGCATACATTCTTTTGTGAATTATTTAGTTGAACTTTTAACGACAATAGCCCATCAACAAACAGCAGGTATATGTGAACCAGGCTTCTCACTTGGTTGAATAGATAATTGGAATTCCCTCACCCCCTTAATTAATATCATGTGAATATACTAAGCCCATTAAGTTGCATTGTGCCACATGTAACAACCTCTTTCTAATATAGTATATGCCAAGTTGTGTTACACATACTGGCCACATCACATCCATGATTTGATAAATAAAGAAATTTATGATGTATCTGCATATTTAAATAAAATTGCTCTTGACATATATTTGTTTTAAATTAAATATAATAAATCTAGATCAGCATGTATCATGTAAGAGCCTACAATGCCAGGGGCCCACAACAAGTTCTCGTTGTCTCATCCCTTGTTGGCTCGCCCCTGCTTTTACGCTGTCTAACATCAGACAATTTTACTATTCCAGGGGAGAGTGCAGACAATGGGTTAATCTAAAGCTTACCAAATTTATCACGATTGTTGTAAACTTGTCACACCTCACAATTAATATATAGCCACCATCGAAGGACTTTTGGGTGTTTGTAATGTAACAAATAATAGCAAAACATGCAGGGATGGATTTACTGTGGTGGAGGGTGCACACACCCTCCCTAGCCCTGGCCAGGGGGGGAGGGTAATATTTTTCATGATAAAGCAAAAAATATTAGAGACAAAATGAGATATAGTACACAGTACACTTGTACCACATGGAGGTTGTTTTGCCAAATTGTCAGAATACTGCTGTTGCTGTATGTCATTGGGCGGGCTGCACACATGACGACACAACTCGAGTCACTCGACACCAGAGCTGGCAGAACACCTCCCCCCTACCAGATCATGCTGGATCCATCCCTGAAAACACGTCTATCACTGTGAAGTTTCCTCAGTGACTGTTTGTATGGTTATAGGGAAATTTGCCTTGCAAAATGGATTTTACCCATGTAAATATTTTGTCTGTGAACTTTGGCAAGCAAAATGTAGTGTAATGGTTAATTAACAAATCCTCCGTTGGTTAATTAACAAATCCAAGGCAAATGTTATTAAGACAGGTCTTTATATCCTGTTGCACCACATAAATCGTCACTTGGAAAACTTTTAGATTCTTATTAAATTCCAGTTGTCCTTTCCCTTTTGTCTACATAACTCACACCCATATATAAAACAGGGCCACTGATTTAAGAAAGCTTTTGCTAATTTTCGCCACATCTGAGACACTCAAGTTTGAAAACTGTGTCTTTGTCCAAGGGACCAAGGGATAAATTGCACAGTGTATTACACAATAAGAAAGCTATCTGTTTAAGACTTTTATTAATGATTTCCTTCCATACAAGCATATTAAAACAAGGCACGAGGTGTTTATATATTTAATACGTATGCACAGTCACAGATGTCAACAGTTGAATTTACATTTATATTGACAATTTTCGATCGTTCCTTTTCGTGTTATAATTTCGACTAAATCACTGCACTTTCAGCTTATTATGATATAAAATGTCGTCAACAATTTGAATAGAAATTTGTATATATCAACGATAAACTTTGAATTGAAACCTTGTCTTGACATGAATCGACAACAACGTGCAATTCACTGCTCTGCAAAGTCACTCATTGTCTCTAAACAATCCCAGTATTAAAATCGCTGCCTCGGCTCACGATAACCCACCGGGCACACGACGTTGTTTCAACGTTGAAATTTGGTAGAAAACAGGTTGCGACGTCGACAACCTAATATCTACGTTGCTCTGACGTTGTTTTAAAAAGATTGGTTCAACAGCAGCCAACAGACGTTGAATCAACGTTCATTCATGGTTAAATGTACCACGTCGGTTTGTGAAGTAATCTCAATGTTGTTTCAACGTTGATTCAACGTTGAATTATGGTTGACGAGATTGGCAACTTAATTTCAACGTTGTTTGAACGTGGAAGCAGTAACATCGATCCAATTTGCATTATCAATCCTTTTTCAACGTCTATCCAACGTCTGGAAGGTCATTTCAAACGTTGATTCAACGTTGAATAAACGTCATTTTGCCCGCTGGGTAACGTTCTCAGCTCCTTAGTCAAAGTTCCCTTTGTATTTGCAATGTTGAAGAGCAGGATTATTCGTTAATTTTACAGTTTTACTCGTCTTGTACGCCATCGTGTTGAAAACAAAATTCTCTTCACTCCTTGCTGTAAGCCCTTCCTACTCCCCCTAAGTTTGAGTTTGTCGAAATTTGCATGCGCGAGCCGGTATGCGCAGTGCAAATTTTTGTGTCGATTTATGGCAGGCATCTCATCAAACTTTTTTCCACCACCCGATTCCTTTGGTGAGATGCCTGCGGAGGAGGCTAGTCGAATGTTGAATTATCTATGATCGTACGTTTCTCCGAAAAATCTCGTTTCAAACCATCCAACTTTATCTCTCCAGGTTTCGTTGCATCATAGTTGTTACTGACTTCTCCAGCTTTGTATACGAGCTTTTTTGTGTAAGTTCGGTGCGCTGTTCTCGATTTTTTCTCTTTTGTTTGTTGACTCATCTTTCCTTTGGTACTGTAGAATTATCCGACTCGATGGACCATGTAACGATTTTAGAATGAATTTCACATATATATTTGAATACAAAACTGTTCTTTTATAGAATTTTACAGAAAAAAAACTTTTTAGTCACGCCACGCCATGTTCCATGAATCTACACATTCGCCAATTAATATCAACTACGCATGCGCCAATTTAACATTTAACTTAACATAAATTACCTCGTAAGTTCGTACGAAGAATTGACATATTATTAAATAGCAAAAGCGAAAAAATGTAATATTATGTAGTGAGTAATGCCCCCCCGATAATAGTGTGGTATATTGCCATTTCTCACTACATAGCATTTAGAAAAGCAGGCGTAATTTATTGAAGAAAATCTCGAAATGAATATCGATCGTCATCTGAGAATTGTAAAAATAATTCAAAGCTGTTTTAACAAAACCGTTCTCACGAAATATCTCATTATTCAGTTTGGTCGAGTGGGGTAATCATATATCTAACCAGAAATTGTTGTGTTTATTTTTAGCAGTTGCTAGTATACCTGCTCCAGGATCTTTCATGTTTTCTCTTCGTAATAATGACAACCTTGAGCCTTTCAAGGCTCCGTTGAGAAATCAGAATGACGCGAGAGCAATTCGAATTGAGAGTTGGAAAGGACCCATATTTGGTGGTGGTCATGACTTGGATATTGCAGACGATGCGGGATCAAATACAAATTCCTTTGCAAATTTTGGTGCCAGCTACCAATCTCCACCTGGATACACTTATAATCAACCCAACACAAAATCCCTGCTTGCCGGTAGCTATAACTTCAGACCGTCCGAAATTGAAGTTTTATATTTAGATTGAAGCAGCTCTTACGTACTTCAAGGTAAATAAATTTGGCAAAGAAGTCATGATATGTCGTAAATGATATACAGTAACAAACGTCAACTCTCATATAAATGCCTCATTTCAACACCCATGTTCAAATGTCTTGTTTATATACCCCCTCCCACATCGAAATAACGCCCTTTTCTGTAGAGAGGAATTTATTAGAATTCACACTCATCGCACGTACTGATATGTGCTGGAGCATTCGTTCAACAAAATACGTAACAAAAGCCGAAAAATGAAAAGCTCTAGGGAGACTGAGTATGTTGCCTAAAAGAAGGTCGTCAAATTTAAATGTTTATGTTTCTGCTCTAGTACAGAATCATACTTGCCTCCAAATATAATCATTTTATCACTTTTCGGTCGACACAGAGCCATCAAATACTACTATAATATTGTGTCAGGTTGGAAATGTAGAAATTTAAAATTTATATATTGCTTTTAATTCATATATTTTGCTGTTCATTTTTCGGGTTTTGTTGCACTTTGTATCTTCTTAAAGGATTAGTGTCAGGGTCATGCATTACGGGCATTTGTTATTGTTTACAGTTTACTCAAATACAATAAATAGCGATAAAAATACCTTGTTTGGTACATTTCTGATACAAATCAGACAAAAAGAGCAAGGATTATAAAAGGATGGTTTAAATATATGACGGATTGTAAACACTTTCCAGATCATTTAATCTATTCGTCCCGACAAATGGCCGCCAGCAGGAGTTTGAGCCCGCAAATTCCTGGTGTGACACTAGTCCTTTAATTGGAATTGACCGCAGGAACAAACTCTAGGAAAGCGCTGTTTCAGGATATTACATTGCCTTATATAGCTAATATGCTTTGCTATCCAGGCGTTTATTAGATCATTTCAATTCTATTTTAGTATTGACTTTTCACTGCTTCATTCCCAGCCGCTATATGGCACGGAACATGAAGTGCTACGATAGGTGGGCGACTGTCGAGAAGAGCACATTTTCCGTTCCACCATCCTTGTTCTTATGCCTGTATTCTAAACGCTCACTCATGCTTACACTCATGCTGTTTGTGAATAGTTGGAGGGTGAGTAGTCACTTAGTATAAGGTACGACAACAATCAACCAGCTATTCAAAAAACAGCACTGTCACTCAAGGGAAGCTCAGATTGAACCTCCAGTCATTGAGTGTGAGTGAGCTTTTAGAAAACAGGTGCTAGTTAATCGAAAATAGTACATTGAATTACGTTCGTTTACGTTTATAGAAACATATGTTCATCATTGCTAGGTGTTTATTGTTTTCTCATGGCCACTGGCAATGTCAAAAATCAACTCAAACATTGCTATTGGTTGGTTTTGTAAAACTACGATGTCCATTTCTCGATGAACAGAGCATTTGCTATGCAAACGGAGGCGAGATAAGTTCATTTAAAATTTTATTTGTATTTTGTAGACAATTTTTTTGGCGAGTCAGATTTGGCGAATTCACTGGTCAAGCTCAACGGGAAGTCCACCATATTTAAGTGTGAAATGTATTTAAAGCACGTTTGGTGCGCCAAGTTTCTCCTTTTCTTTCAAGATCTTTCAGCATCCTTATTTAATTTTTTGTCCTAAATTAATTTAAAATATTTTTACGCTAGGCTTGCGCAATGTCACTTCCTGAGCGATGTGATTTTATGTCATCGTTACAAAATAATAATGTAATTTTATATCATTTACGATACATATTGAGTGACTAAAATTCCACTCATTATGATAAATCTATCTATGTTGAAGATTTGTCGCAAATTTGACCGACTTTTATGACATAATTACTGTAGCCATATATTACACAACGACTAAATCAAATCGCTCGGGACATTGCGCATTCAAGTATAAGATATGCAAACGCAAGATATATGCAAGTATAAGTTAATAATTACAGGTGCAGATACCTACTGCGGAGTAGAATGGACTTGGACGGTGCTAGTACATTAGGAATCAATTGTTTGATTGTAGTTTGAATGAAATGTATATAGTGTGTAATTAGCTCAAGAGAACGTCAGCGTAACATCTAATCTTTTACAATTTGCATTCATGATATGTCTGAATTTGGGATTACACTCGCACAAACGCAGACAGTTAGGCTGTAGTAACTAAACAATGTGTATATTTAATTGTTAAATAAATGAGTTAAAAATTCATGAATGCGTCGATTTCTTCTAAAGGTGTATAATATACCTATGTCTTATAGGTCGCATATAAGTTACCTAAAGCGGAGATTACAAAACTCGAGGGATGAACTTTTTCCTCGATTCTGGGGTCATTTTACGGAACTTATCATACACGTTTTGAGATTATGAACGACTCGAGCAGTTTGATTGGCAAAAAATAGTGCGATTACAGCCCAAATTGCACTATTTTAGAGCTGTCATCCCATTACTTTGAGCTTTAAACAGTTAAGCAATACACAAATAATTATTGGGCATATTAAGAACTGAAAATCGTTTTGAAACTTAGCAAAAATACGCAAAAAGCAACTTAATAAAGCGACTGGAAAAACAACTAAATTAAACAAGTTGATTGATACATCCACGGTTAATAGAAGAAGACTGGTTATAGGCCGTATTCTGTGGCACTATATGGTAGGAGGATAGTTAGGATAAATTATACAAAGTCCAAATCCGCTTGTTTGCACTTCCCAAAACCTGCAGTTTTCGAGTATTTCTTCTTCGAAAATTCAATAAATCAGCATCTTTCGCAATGGATCGCTGCCATTTTTGTTCAGGATACTTAGTGTAAAAAACACTATAAATGGCGATTTTCGCGGGCTCACACTCGTTCTTAATAGCTTACATGAAGTTTCCAGCTTAGCCATTTGTAAACATGGCGTCTTCTGACTCATGTTTAATTTATTTTGATGGGAAGAAAGGCCCACTTACAAGTTTTAGTGCGGTTTCGTATAAAAAATGTTTAGATTGTCTTATAATTTGGCTAACGCTAGATGGGGAAAAATGCAATGTTGCTCAAAGTGGTTTGCAATTTGTTAGCGACAGCATGGAAAGTAGCACGGTTGAAAGTATCGAATACGCAAATTTTCATCGAAGTTGTTACTCGGCATTCACAAATAGCAGCAGTATGTAAAAAATGCTGAGATCTACGCTGAGTTCGCATACGGGTGCGTCAGCAAAATCACGGAATCCCCACGTGTTGCCATGCGTTTGAATAATTTGCAAATCAAAAAAGTCGTATTTCACTGAACCGGTAAGTTGTTTTTTTTTACCATTATTGTTATTTTTCTAATATGTGTTTTATAATTATATATTGATTGCATTGCATTTAGCCGCTCCCGTTATATAAACGGTAATTGTGTGATTTCTATGCATGGGTATATCTGCAGAAACAGCATATGGTGGTAAACTGAAAGAAGCTGCAACAAAGAAAGCTCATGAAAGTATTTTGATTCAAATTGCTGATAAGATCCTAGTAGCATTGGAAGTGAAATACCATGAACGTTGTTATGAAAAGTACACATCATTTCTTAGGCACAGCCCCAGTACTCAATCAAATGACAATGCAGGTGAAATGCATGAATGTAAGTATGAAGAATCATTCAATGTCTTCTGTGAAGAGTTTGTTAAAGAAAATCTAATTAAGCAGGAGAATATATTTTACATGAAAAAGTTGAAAAGAGAGTTTGTCAAGACAGTGAAACGTGTTGAAAACTCTGATGGCTCAAGTTACAGAACATTTCGATTAAAGCAAAGAATGGGTAAAAGGTTTCCACAACTTGTTTTCCATAGACCAAAGGTACAAAACAAGAGTGAAATTGTTTATGCAGAATGCCTCAGCCAAGAGAGATGAAATTATAAGAAAGTACGGCTAACATCGACAGGGAAGAGGAGATCTTATTTGAGTGTTATGTGGAAGGCTGTTCGTCATCTTTTGCAACCCTTGGTAGACTGCAAAATCACATTAGCTTAGGGTAGCATTAAACAAAGGCCGTATAAAGTGTAAAGAAAATTTGTATGACCAACTACGTAGAGAATGGACATCAAGTTTTCAATTTTATCTGTCGAATCCGAGTGGAAGCAAATAATGCAAGAAACACCTGTAACTAGTGACGTACCGTCGAGAGAATTAGCCGGGTTGGCTTTACAGGTATTACCTGGTCCTATTAGGTATTAATGTTACAGCTGGATTTGATGCAGGTGTAACCGGAAGGGAGGCTGATCCAGTACAACAATGACATGGGGAAAGCAAGACACAACGACGGCTCACAAAAGTTCAGCAGAGAATTAGAGTGGCTGATCAAGGCGCGAAACAAAAACTTCTTTTATAGATCGACTATCCAAAGAAAGGATGAAAAGCAAACCAAACTAGACGATAGTGATGAGGAATTCGTAATATGAGCATGAATACGGCAGAGAGGAGAATCTACAAGAAGCTCAACGATATGTTGAGAGAGCTGGCCGTAGAACATCCCATAATTTAAGACGGATGTGACGTTTGTGATGACGTGAAAGTACGTTTGATATCAAAGTTCACTGTGATGACTCTCAAAGATATTTGTGAATATTTTCATGCCTCCTTTACGTCCACAGACACGAAGCCAATTCTGCCTAGCAAGATGATCTAGACAGGACGAACGAACTCCATTACCATAGCTGGAAAGAGCAACTTAAAATGAGTAAAATTGCAAAGTTTGTGGTGGCGAATTGTTGTAAAATGGGGAAAATATAGCCCTGTGAAGTTCCCAAATTTTGTATATATTTGCATTACGCGCGGAAAAATAACAATTTTTGAACCGAAAGTAGTATATTTCTACCGCGCAAATATATACAGATATATCCAAAATTTTCGAAATTCACAGGACTATATTTTCTTCATTTTACAACATTTAGCAACCAATCTTTGCAGTTGTATTCATTCTAAGACGCTCTTTCAAGCTGTGGTGTTGGATTCCGTTCTTCTTGCCTTGATCAAAATTTAGTCTATAGCTGGAATCACCCAATTTACCGCAATGAATTTTACTTTTTTGCATATGAGGATTCGATTGTACCTCGCGTCTCATGAGATTTGTGCGAGAACTGTAAGTCGGCAATATGGGCATGCACGCTCAAAATAAGTATGAGGACGTGTATCGGTCACTATGAAACTACGAGTGCTGGTCGAAATTTTAGAGTATTTTCTGCATTGATTTATATTATATTTTGTTGTCGTTAGTCGCAGGTCAATAGCAACCGTGAGGTTGGGGGGTTGGGAGGGGCTGGAGGGCTTTGTAAACTAGCGAGTGTCTGTAAAGTTTGAGAGGGAAATAATGACCTAATAATCGTCCCTGATTAATCAGCCTCCCTAATACAAAATTGCTTCCAATACGGTAGTGGGTTGCATGTGCAGTAAATAATATTTCTTATATTGTAAGATTTAGTGATAATAACTAGGCGTGTCAGAAGTCAAAACATGTCCATTTTATATATGCATGTTGACGACATGAATCCAACTGATTTCTCGAATGTTGCGAAGTGTTTTGTGTATGACTTTTCCGGTGGTTTTAGGTATGTTGTCTGCAATTCATAAGCAATTATTACAAATATGATTTCTTGTGTCATTTATCTGTTACAAAATATATCTTATTTAGCTAACTCAATCGGCAGTTGAAATAAATTATACGTGACAAGGCTACAAATCAGTACAAAGCAAAAGTTACTAAGCAAAGTTATGAAAGCAAAGCCTATAAATGTACTTAGGAAAGAGTCGGAAAAGAACAAAATAAAAAATTTGGAAATTGGTTTGTGAATTACGTTATGCACATGAGGCAGGTAATTTGCAGCAGGTAATTTATATGGTCGGCCTAAAAAAGCCTGAGAGGCTCTGATGTTAAGCCGCTGGTTAATTTTGCAGGTTGCAGGTTGCAGGTTTGCAATTCCCTACATCCAGATGATGAGTGAGGTCAGTGACTGATCTCCACTTCCGATTTTCAGCATAATCTCTGCGGCATGATGGCGAGTTATTTTCATGCAAGAATTTGAAATAAATATATTTCGATTTTGAAACTCAATGTTTACCGTTAAAAGGCAGTTTAGTTTTAAGAACATTTTGAAACGTTTTGCGAAGCGTTTGTGGTTGATTTTTACACTAAACCGAAGCTTATACAGTATTACGTATAATAACATACGTAGCATATATATGCTTGGGAAATTTTGGTGGGATTTTTCAATTTTAAAACTATTCTTAAAATTATCGTGTTACCATGATAATACTTCATGTTTGGAAAACATAATAGTTTTGTCAGCAAGGCGAGGGTTTCTGCATGCATGAACACCGCGGAAAAACGTCTGCGCATGCACCAAATTATGAAAATATAGCGGGGAATTTGAATATCAATTTCTAAAACAAAAACATGCTTATTAATTAACGAAACGTATTCAAAACGTCACGTAAAATATACAGTATTGTAAAAACAATACTACCGAAGTCCAGAGATGACAGCATTAGAAAATATGATGGATTAAAAGGCATTAGCGAAGATCGCCGATGACAACCTAGCTAGTTCACAGTTGTGTGAGGGCATGAGGCTCTCAAATACGTCGATGTATTTTTGTCATTTTGAATTCGACGGCAACATTTTCTTAAATTAATAGGGAGTTTAAGCTTCATAATTTTCGTTCGATTTCTGCGTGTCATATTTTCTTTCATATGACACAGGAATAGTTAGGCATTCTAGTTATAAAACAACAAGCCCATTTACTTTTTACTGCTTTATAGCGTAAAATTTTTCTGTGCCTGACGTTTGTCGTTGAACGCGAAGTTTCGGGCGCTTTCCATTTAATGGTCTGAAAGTTCAGACCCGAATTTTTTTCTCTGTATCAATGGAAAGATTTTGTCTATGTTTCTCAAATATCAAGCGAAATGGTCCTCATATATTCTAATGTTATCTAAATTGTCCGGTCAAATAGGTCCGAAGCCCAAATGTTTTGTGTTCCAGTCAACAATTTGACCGTTCTGACCGGTCTGGCCATGTTAATGAAAGCGCCCTTAGGCTCTCTATATTATTGACAAATATTAAGGTGTATGTTAATAGCAATGTTGGGAAGTCGGTTGTTAATGATATTGGATTAGGTAGCAGATTTTAAGGGAACAAAGGCAAAAACTCATTATATGGGTCATTAAGCGCTCAAAAGCTTGTCATTCTCATTAAATATGTGGCCAAATCAACGTAAGCGGTAGATATATATATATGTATAAAATCAAGACACTGCGCTATACATTTAACATATCTCAAGTTGAAAACTGTGATTTATTTCCACATTTCCTCAGCAATAATTAGTACTGCAACTTTGCTAAACAAAGTTATAAGGAATTACTTGCTTCCATGTAATTTCAGCGTGGACGATAAATTAGTCATCAAACTGTACTGTTCAATATTTATACAATGTTTTTAATTAAACAATGTTTGTTTTATAATATCTTCTTCAGACTAAAATTTCTTCTGGATTCAAGTTGTCATATATGTTTATAAGAGACTCAATTTGTTCAAGAGGAGGCCAAATTTCCTAGGAAATATATATCCACTTGAATGATCAAATTTCCTAGGGAATATGATTCGGGGGGAGAGCTTAAGGGGTGTGTGGGGATTCCAGGTGCACGTACGCATATAAATTTATTACCGACACACATTGATGCGTTCAAACACTCGATATTCATCATGAGTGTTATTACGTTATTTTCTTGCTTTTTCCTTGTGGTTTCAACCGAGGATGTGCTTTGTCCATCTGGAGCTCCGTTTAACTTAATTTCCGAAAGCCCTATCAACGAAAAAGGAAATTACAATGAAAATAACATATGTACAAGGTTATCATGATTAGCCACCAGGCTCCTAACAGTTCAATGCAGAAAATGATCTAGGGTCAGATAAACACTCATTAACATCATGATTATTATGGTAATCATGAGTAGTGTAATTGGCAAAATTATTACCCGAGGGCAAGTTTAAATCAATATCTAGGTCACTTAAATGAGGTGTATTAGTTATGGGTGATGTAATATTAAAACAACAAGGTAGATCTTTAATTTCCAGTAATCTGTCATCAATATGAGATGTAGGAGTAGACATTAAGCATCTACCACAATTCACACTTGAGTCGCATATCAAACGAAATAATTATTCTACTTGTACTTGGCTCAACAACTTAGTAAGTTGATCGTCATTCTTGATGCAGATCCTTTGACTTTCTTCATTCTTCCTTAAGTAGATTCTACTAGCTATTTGAGGTCCAAATGTATTTATAGCTTAACAGGTGGGAAATTTGTCTGAGCATGCGCGAGCAAAATGAGTCACGCAATTGAGTGGAATACACGCAACGCGTGTTTACAAAAATGCACAATCGTGTAAATATTGCCAAATGTTTGTACAAAATAAATGACAGTTTTATGTTGAAAGAGTGGACATGATCTAAATTAATCATACAAAATTTTTTAGCGACGTTCTATTTCAGTATCTTGCCATTGTCTCTGGTGGGCTGTCTGTGTGCATTCGTTCTGAAACAGTTGCTACTATGCTGTCGAAGAATTTCGAATATTTACATGAAAATAGAGGCAAGTCATGCATTTTACAACCTGTCAAACTGTATGAGCCCCTATTTTTACGCTTATACGTAAGATATCAAATAAAAGTACATGAAACAGAGAACATTTGTAGAAAGTTTTATTGTGAGGCCACGGCCAGTTTTTAAAATATCTTTATTTCTGTTCCGGTCATCACCAAAATTACACAAAAGCCGGGCTTGAAAATACAACAAATTTTGAATCTCATCAAGCACAAAAATACTTAACGTGTAACCAAAATATGCTCATGAAATCGAAATTAATAGCTAAATTTTCAAACTAGACCCTTCCCAAATCGGTTTTCATGAAGGAAGTTCACATTTCGGCCTTTTAATTCTTGGCAAAAATTTGACCACAACACGTGCGAAGCAACTGGGTCTCAAAGACTGAACTAAAACATTGTGAGCCCCTATTTTCCTGACGATATGTTTGATACCTACAAACGCCGAAAAGTGTTTGCTTTTCATTTAGCTATATTTGAAATTGAGGCCACGGGCTATTTTTGAGAAAATGCAGTTCAAAGTCAAGCTATTTTTACATATTTTCAAAATTTGTCAAATTTCGCGAGCTTGTATTTTGAATTTAGACAGCTAAAGTTACATTAACAAACATAGGATGGAAAATTTGAGGCATATAAAGTTAATTTCAACTTACATTTCATTCTCAAATCACGTCTTTCTTCGTTTATTACGGTTCTAAACAAGCCATAGATCGACGTATACGGTATTTACTCCCATGTTCACGTCGCCATATTAACTTCTTCCAATCACTCGATTACGAAAAAATCATCCCAAAACAAAGAATTCATGATCGACTTTTAAAAGAATAACCAATAATTTGTAAATCGTTGAATGGAAAGCAAAAAATTGTCAGCTAAAACAGCTTCTTGCTAACTTTCTGCTTTGTTTTGAATGTAAATGCAATGAGCTTTGTTTCTGCCCGCAATTTTTTGGTCAGCGACGACAAATTTCCCACCTGTTATCTATCTATCTATCTATCTATCTATCTATCTATCTATCTATCTATCTATCTATCTATCTATCTATCTATCTATCTATCTATCTATCTATCTATCTTACACACCCGATGACATAAAGGATTTTGCTTCGCAAATCCTTAAAAGCAAACGCATGCATTTTAAAACGAAACAGCAAAACAAATTGAAAATTATAATTTAATTTTCGTTAGCGGTTTGACGTTTGCCGTAAACGTCAATCGAAAACTCTCTATTAATTAAACATGAAAACGAGGCCATAAGTGCACACCGAATATAAACAACCAAAAGTGGAAGTCTGCCGTTAACTTATAGTAACATACTTTTCTAATGGTTCCATCGTTGTCACTGCTATCCGAGGATATCTTGTCACTAAAGCCTAATCCTACAGCCTCGTTCACGGCTCGGCTTTGTTAATCCTATTCAAACCTCCCCATATTAAGGAAATTACTTAATTGTTAAAGTATTCTTTGTATCCTTCAATAACGCACTGTCGTAAATGGTAGAAAACTTTGGGAGCTTTTTTAGCAACCAACCATTCATTACTCTTCGGAAGCCATCCATTGTAATTATTGGTTGATAACATCAACGTTTCACACTTGTGCCCAGGCTCTTCTTCGTTTTGCACGGCGATGTAAAAATTCCCACCATTCGTTGCGCGAACAATACCGTCAGCCCCCGCTGGCCTAGATGGATGCGTGGCATCCAGAAAGAAAATAGCGAAAGCTTTTTTGCCAAACCAGTCGCTGGTTTCGTACGGAGGTGAAAAATATAGTACGTAGTCGCGGTCACTCAACGGAAAGGATAAATTCAAAACTGAACGTGCAATACATCCACCATTTGGCAGCTTCTCCAATATTTCCAAAGCTGAAATTATAATATAAAAATTACAAGTTAATCTCTGACAATTCTGAATAGCGTCATGTAATTTAAAGCGGTCAGTTTCCACTGGCTGAAATTGTTCACAAGAAGCGAAGTAGTGCTGGCAATTGGGCCGTTATAAAAACCAATGATAAAGTGCTCAATGGATAACCAGAGCATAATAAGGAAAGACACAATAACGTAGCAAGCTTTGTTGTTATAGCTACGTTATTTATGTGGTACGAAACTATGTATACTATTTAAAGCACATGTAGGAGTGTTTTATCAGATATAAAACGCGAGGCGCAGCCGAGCGTTTTATATCTGATAAAACACGACCAGTACAAGTGCTTTAAATGGCTTAAAAACGACCCATCTTCTGATGAGTACATTAGCGAAGTAATTTTTAAAATGAACTAACAAAATAAATTAACATGATTTTTTATCACATATAAAGATACGACACGCTTATGATTTTTCTTTGTGTTTTCCTCCTGAATTATTAATGAGTTTTTTTAAAATAGTACATAAATATGCCTTGCAAACAAAGCGTGCTATGTGTCTTTCTTTGCATATCTGATACAATTATATGCAAAATCGTGCTGATTTACACAAACTTCTCACCAAATACCATTGACGCTCTGCAATCATTTCAACGGGTGACTATAATTACTGATTTCAAATTTTCAAAACGGAAAATCCAATTTAAAAATGAACCCATAAAGCCCAACAAATGACGCAGTTATCGCAGTTAAACAACCCAGCGGGCAAAATGACGTTTATTCAACGTTGAATCAACGTTGGAAATGACCTTCCAGACGTTGGATATATAGACGTTGAAAAAGGGTTGACTATGCAAATTGGATCGACGTTACTGTTTCGACGTTGAAACAACGTTGAAATTAGGTTGCCAATCTCGTCAACCATAATTCAACGTTGAAACAACGTTGAAACAACGTTGAGATTACTTCACAAATCGACGCCGTACATTTAACCATGAATGAACGTTGATTCAACGTCTGTTGGCTGCTGTTGAACCAATGTTTTTAAACTGACCAACGTCAGAGCAACGTAGATATTACGTTGTCGACGTCGCAACCTTTTTTCTACCAAATTTCAACGTTGAAACAACGTCGTGTGCCCGGTGGGTTAAGACAAACAAGATCTCGAGATATTGAAAAGGAATAAAATCTATACAAATTGTCAAGGAGTATTTTACTCACATTTACTTACTCACACAAATGTTTAGAAGATATTCAAGCTAGCTCAAGCTTTTTCTCGAAATGAAATAACAGAATGTTTGGCCAAGGTGAGTAAATGTGGAGATATCAAATACAAATTCCTTCCCCTTGCTTTTAGATTCTTACCCAAATAAAACCCTATTGAGAGCAAGAGAAATCCGCACAAATTTGAACTAATATAAATGTTTCTAACCGGCACAACAAGTATATTCGATTGCATTTCCGGAGATCTCAACAGACTATATGTTCGGCGTCGTTACCCTCCGAATCCACTGATCTGAAATAAGGCCCTAATCCAACAAACACTGCAGGTGTGATCATTTCAGATCAGTGGTGTGATCCCTATACAAGCCTATATACAGGCAGTATTACTCCCGCTATTACGCACCTGTGGTGTTATCCCATTTCTCGCGTAAATCCAACTTCTCCGCAGACATCATTTCTATAAATTTCTCGGCAGACATCGGCATATTCTCGAAGCGATAGAGCAATTTAACACGCACCTCCTCATTTGGAAATGTTTTGGTCCAGGAATTATATTCATTCACAATTTGATACCTTTGTGCCCAACCGTCACCCTTATCTAAGTCTTGTTTCAGAAATTTCGCTTTTTCCCAAGCCTTTACCACATCCAAATGTGGTATTTTGGCATCAATTTCTTCGCGTTGCGCTTGTTCCATCACGAATACGATATCACGATTAACATTAATAATACCTGAACATTGATCTAAACAAAAACCAAGCACCCTTTCGATAATACGTCATTTGGCCCGGGAGCCTTGCTCTCATGAATTGTGAGCCAATCACCTTGCGTAGTTTACTAATGAGAGCGAGGCTCCAGGACCAAAAAGTATGTGTAGCGTAATTATCGAAAGAGTGTATTCAATTTGTTGAATTCAATGACGTGTTTCAATCACGTTTGACGTTTCCGATTCCTACATTAAGCCCTGATTCCACGAGCGCTTTTTCTCGGCGAAATGCGAAATATTTCGCCTGTTTCCGTTGAATTGCGACTACTTGAATAACTTATTTCTACTTGATTGCTCACAATTCAAATGAAACAGGCGAAATATTTCGCCGAGAAAAAGCGCCCGTGGAATCAGGCCTTAAGAAACCTTAAGATTGACGTATTTTGCGCAAGCTTCTAACCGTTAACCGCTAGAAACCACGTGACCAGGAGCTTGCCGTCACGTTCGCCGTAAATCGCTCAAGGCCTGATTCCACGGGCGCTTTTTCTCGGCGAAATGCGAAATATTTCGTCTGTTTATTTTGAATTGCGACCACTCGAATAAATTATTTCTACTTGATTGCCCACAATTCAAAAGAAACAGGCAAAATATTTCGCATTTCGCCGAGAAAAAGCGCCCGTGGAATCGGGCCTTCACGTTTTAAACCTCAAGAGTGCATTCTACAGGTAAGTGATTTACCTCAGCATTTTATTGAACTGTTATTACTTCATTGCACGTATATGAAAAGCCTGGTTCACATATGCCTGCGGCATGCCTGCGACTGTATCATTATACTTTATTTAAACTTTAATGTTGTCATCACTACATCTGGAAAACCACGTAAGAACAAATTAAAAGTATTTTAAAAGAGACCAGGTTGTTTGAAAATCCTAAACGAATGCTAAAAATCGTCAAAACATTCTGGTGTCTGAGCCAGAGTGTCAGTCGAATTGCGATGTAATGTAAACAGAAATTATAGCAGGTTGATGTCCAATCTCGTTCCCGGAGCCTGCGATCCTCGGGAAGGAACGCGAGGCTCTGGGATAATCCGTTGCCGGAAGCCAGGAATCCTGGCTAAGATTGAACTACGCATTCCATATCAATGGCCAATCAGATTCATCCCTGAAACGGATTATCCCAGAGCCTCGCGTTCCTTCCCGAGGATCGCAGGCTCGGGGAACGAGATTGGTTGATGTCAGTCAGCTTAGCAACCTCGTTCCCAGGCTCTTTGCTTCCCAAGAGCAAAGAGCCTGGGAACGAGGTTGTCAGCTTAGATGGTCCAAGCCAAAATTATATCGCATTCGAAGTTTCAAACTGAGTTAAAAATAGTGGAAGAAAAGCCGTAATTATACTTATTGTTACAATCCATTTAATAAAATGCAACATTTGTTTGTTTTAATGAAAAAATCAGTTATTTTCATGAGAACGATTTGTTATTCCATCTCAATTTTTTTAATCTCCAATCGCAATAACGTAAAGTATTATTACCCACGAACCAATGAGTCAAATTTAAGAAACAACCCACTGTTAGAAAGCTGAATGGCTACGCTTTAAAATGAATGTAAACTTTAACGTTTTCGTCTATTTGTTTAGCAATTTACATTTCAGTCGAGGATTGCGCTTTTTTTTTATACACCCTGTATATATGATGGAAATCGGGGTCGAGCAGCTATATGTTTCAAAGTTTTGGGGACATATTTATACAAGCAAGAAATAATGCATGCTCTTCTTGTGTGTGGTGATTTAGATGCAAAAGGAACGTTCACCATATATTAGATGTTCATGCCGTGGTAACACAAGATGCCGATGGTAATTGGGAGTGGAAACCTCAAGCCAAGTAAGCCTTGCGTTTTACTTACCTACCGAAGACCATTTATTAGCCGTTAATGATATCGAAGATCATTGTTTTCGAGAAGAATTAAACTGACGCTTTGGGTTTTATGAAATGAAATCTTTGATCCTTCAACAATAGATATTTCGTTTTTACTGGTTCGACCAATTTGATACTAATGAGTAAAAAATGAACAAAACTCCTTTTTGCCATAACTCAAAGAAACTAGACTTAAATCCGTTGATGTCGGTATAAGCCAAAAAAGTGTCGTTCCTGAACTTTGTTGTAGCGTTAAAGCAGTTTTGACTATAGTATTATACTTTTAATTGAGAAAATGATATCTGAAGTTCCGGTAGGTTTTTCTTTAATATATGGCTGTAAATATGGCGTCAATTTTAAAGCATCATTGATAATTGTATTAAAATACTATTATTTTATGTTTCTCAACCGGCAAATGCATTTAAACAGGTTGCTAACTCTATAAACTAGAGAATAAAGCTAAAACAAAATAGTTTTGAGAGGAACGCCAAAAAGATTTTAGGTTTTGAACACTTTTCATTGCAAATACGTGACATTGAAAAAAATTGCCTCTTACTTAAACAGGAAAACGAGGCCAAAAGTGCAGGTCTGCCGTTAACTTATACGGTAATATATTTTCTAATATATCGGTTCCATCGTTGTCGGGTATCCGAGGATACCTTGTCACTAAAGTTAACCCTACAGGCTCACATGGCTTTGCTAATCCTATTCAAACCATATTAGTTAAGGAAATTAATTTAACAGCAAATTTATTACGTTTAATTGTTAAAGTATTCGTTGTATCCTTCAACAACATCCTGTCGTATATGGTAGAAATGTTTGGGAGCTTTTTTAGCGACCAACCGTTCATTACTCTTCGGAACCCATCCATTGTAATTATTGGTTGATAACATGAACGTTTCACACTTGTGCCCAGGCTCCTCTTCGTCTTGCACGGCGATGTAAAAATTCCCACCATTCGTTGCGCGAACAACACCGTCAGCCCCCGCTGGCCTAGATGGATGCGTGGCATCCAGGATGAAAATAGCGAAAGCTTTTTTGCCAAACCAGTCGCTGGTTTCGTACGGAGGTGAAATATATAGTATGTAGTCGCGGTCACTCAACGGAAAGGATAAATTCAAAACTGAACGTGCAATACATCCACCATTTGGTAGCTTCTCCAATATTTCCAAAACTGAAATTATAATATAATTCTGAGAATTAAGCGTCATTAATTTTAATCAAGTCGGTTTTTGACTGGCCGAAACTGTTCGCAAGAAACCAAAATAATACTATAGGTTATATTAGGTTAAAAAACCCAATGATAGAATGCTCAATGGTTAACCTGAGCATTATAAGCAGTTCCAGCTGCCAGTTGATGCGTGCAGGGAATGATGGGAAGTAAGGTATCACATTGGTGATTATGCTGAAAAAATAAAAATGGTGGCCTTGTAAACACGGAGTGATAGCTTATACTTGTAAATATTGAAATACTTCGGTTGCTTCGGTAGTTTTTATTGAAATTTTTCAGCATAATCAGCAATATGATACCTTACTTCCCATCATCCCCTGCACGCATAAACTAAAAACTGGAATTGCCAATAAATAAAGACAAAAACGTAGCGAGCTTTGTTTAATATATTAGCTACGTTTATTTAAGCCTGGTTCACATATACATGTGGTATGTCGGCGTATAGCAGTGGCAACCATAGATATCTTATATACACTAGATAGCGCATCTCTTTTAGTAAACTTGAAGTCAAGAATATTCCAGCGGTTACCCCCATTTGAATAGATGGCGGCCATCTTGGTAATTCCCACTCGCTAATAAACGCTTAAAAAACAACAATAACTTTCATCATTTAAATAGTTTAAAAATGTATTTGGAATAGGTTTAACTTGATGTTTAAGTTCCCTGTTTAATTAAGAAATAGAAAACATACTAATAGTTCATGGGAATATCCTGCAATCACGGCTTCAATTTTTGAATTTAAGAAAAATTAGATGCACTATCTAGTGTATATAGGATATCTATGAGTGCAACCGAATAATTCACTGACAAAAGAATGTACGCATCAAGTCCATCAACAGCTGCAAACAATGTTAAAAAACTCATTAATAATTCAGGAAAAATCATAAGCGTGTCGTATCTTTATATGTGATAAAAAATCATGTTAATTTACATAAACTTTAATTTAGCTTTGATTTTCTCGGTTTAGACAAAGTTTATTTTAAAAATTACTTCGCTATATCTGATAAAACACTCCTTCGCGTGCTTTAAATAGTACATAGCGCAGGCATATGTGAACCAGGCTTTACGGGTATGGTGGAACAGACTGCATCAGTGCAGAATACGGAATCTGTCAAAAAATTGTTTATTTTGCCAGACTTCGTACTCCGACTCCGTATTCCGCACTCCGCCTTTTCCATGCCTACTTTATGAGTTATATTGTTATTCTAATGCGTTTCACAGCCATATCTTCTTCCTTGCTTTTAGATTCTTACCCAAATAAAACCGGCCTGTTGAGAACTGAATAAAAATCCGTACAAATTTGAACTAATAAATGTTTTTAACCGGCACAACGAGTACTGAGTAAATATGATTGCATTTCCAGAAATCTCATTCTCACCAGGGCATATAATATTCGGCGTCGCTATCCCCCTAGTCCAACAACACTCTGTATCTGGGAATCCGGTGTCACAGAACTTTCGCCCCCTCCCCCAAGAGATTCGCCCCCCCTCTCAAAAGGAATAGGAATATCGCCCCTCTTTAGAACCCC